AATATCGGCTAGGTGACCTTGAATAGATCACTTCAGCTCTCTGAGCCTTAGCTTTGACATTGGCAATATGAAATATGAACGACAATAATAACAGTAATTTGAGCATCAATCTTACACGGGGCGCTTACCCTGAGCCAGGCTGAAAACCAAGTCTTCACAACAAGCCAATGAAAGGAAAGCAGTTGTCTCTCAGATGAGGAATTGAACTTCAGAGAGGTTAAGTAACTTGCCTAAGGTCACAGAGTGAGTACGTGGTAGAACTGGGACTGAGCCCAGGGATGCCAGTTGCCGAGGTCACTATGCCACGCTGTACTTCTGGGACCTCTGTGAGGTGAGATGGCAGTGCTAAGGGACTCAGCAAACAATGTCAGGTCTTTCTTCATGATCTTATTGAATCAAAGTTCATCATATCCAGTGAGAATGTGAGTGCCCGGTCGTCTCCAAAGCCCTGGGGATTGTGTCTTAGAAGGAAGAGTGTAGCCCTGACCTTGGGCCCTTACCCCAGGAGGGCCAGGCCTTGCCTAAAGTTTGGGACATTCTCTAGGCACTGCCCAGGCTAAAGGCTGATGCAGCGGGAGGCCTATACACGTGCACCTGCCCCGGGGTGGGGAGGCCTATACCCATAGGGCCCTGGGCACAGCAAAAGGCTGGGAGTGAGGCAGAGGGGGAAGTTTGCGTTGCTGTGTCGGAGGTGCTGTGGGGGGACGGTAGGCCTGTTGGCAGTGCAAGGGGCTGGACTGAGGTCTAGCCACCCACGAGAGAGCCACAATGTAGGGGCATTGGGCACCTCACAGCTTCTCCTCTGGCAAGCGGGGAGAAAGTTCCTACCCGGCAGTGTCAGCGGGTTATAAGTGCTCAGCGGGGCGCTAAATAGGGACAGCTGCATCATGCTTGCTCGATCCCCGGCAGGACGGGCTCAGTGTGAGGTGGCTGAAGACCCCCCTGCCTGCAGTCAGGGCTGGCCTGGAGGAGGGTTGAACCTCAGTGGTAGTAGAGGAGGGGGTGTTGGTGGGACGGCGGCAGTATCTGGAGGCAGCAGAGGCTGGGGAGGGAGGGAGGGGAGGGGCAGTCACCCTGGGACTAATGCATTCACTGAAGTAATAGTCAGGTAACATACAATTCACCACTCTTTTATTTTTTTTTAATTCACCACTTGAGGATTATAATTTAGTGGCATTTAGTACATCCACAGTGTCGTGCAACCACCGCTTTTATCCAGTTCCGAAACATGTTCATCGTCCACAGAGGAGATTCTTTACCCATGAAGCTTTGCTCCCCTGCTTTCCCGCTGCCCGGCCCCTGGCCACCCACCAAGTCTGTTTTCTGTCTCTTGGATTTACCTCTTCTGGACGTTTCAGATACATGGATTCAAGCAACATGGGACTTTTTATGACTGGCTTCTTGCACTCAGCATAACGCTTTCAAGGTTCATCCCTATTGCCCCATGAATCAGTATCCCATTCCTTTTTTATGGCTGAACAACATTCCATTGGATAGATACACCACATCTTATTTATCTATTCATCATTCATCCACCATTCACCGAATGCTGGTGGACATTTGGGTTGTTTCCACCACTGGCCCCATTTTGAAGTGAAAGTCATTGAAAGGCTGAGGTCCCACCATCATCACTCAAACCTCGGGGTGAGCAGAGCTCCAACCAGAGTCCCCCCACGTAGTGTCCGTCCTTTCCTGCCCAGGCAGCTGCCACGATGGTCACAGCAGTGCTCTGGAGCGGCTGCTGAGCATTTCCCCTTGGAGAACAGCTGAGTTTCTTGGTCTTTATTCAGATCCCCTGGCCCAGGGCAGAGGGACAAGAGGATGGGAAGAGAAAGGGAAGGTGGGAGGAAAGAAAGAATGAGTATAAGCTCCCACAGAAGCCTCTGGAAGCTCCGGGCCAGTGAGTGGTATCCACGGTGGAAAAGCCTAGTTGTACCTGAGTCTCAGTGGAGCCCACCTGAGCACCATCGCTGGGCAGGCTTGTCCAGGTGGGGAAACTGAGCCCTGCGGAGCAGCGGTGGCTTGACCAATCTGGAGCGAAACCAGAGATCAACACTGGCTGTTCTGATTCCCAGCCTGGGTGTTCTCTGCCTTTCTGACGTCAGCACGGGACCTGGTACGGGCTTGGAGGGGCTGCCCCACCTCTCCAGTGGGCCCGTTCTGCAACCAGGAAGCAGGTAAGGGGTCTGTCTCCTTCCGTCACACGCAGGAGACAGAAGAGGGAGGAGCGAGCACTGGATCTGGAGCCCTGGATTCCAGCTGCCCTCCTGCGAGCCCCTCCTGCCCTTGCAGCTTCCCTTCGCCCCCCTCCACCTGTAAAATGGAAATTTTAGCTCCCTGGCAGGGGGCTTTGGGGTCCAAATGAGACCACACCTGCGACAGGTGCATGCAAGCTGTAAAGCTGTACGCCGACCCTTCGCTCACCGTGGCCCCAGCAGGCGAGATCCGGCCGTCCTGTCCTCCTGGAGGAAGGACTGTCCCAAGAGGGTGTTTATCTCACCCTGGGCCAGTAACACACTTGACCCGACCCAGCCCCCAGCCTCAGCCCCAGCCGCAAGGAAAGAGCAGCACCTGATCCGCATTAATCTCCACTCCCTGCTCCATGCCAGACTTGGGCTAAATTAAGTGCATCCCTGGCCAGCAGTTCCTTCCCCAGAAACTGAGCACATCCTTCCCGGCTCCCCTCCCACCCACAGCTGTGCCTTCCCATCAGGCTGGTGGCTGGAAAGCAGGCAGGCCTCCCACCCATCTGCAGCCCCGATCTGCCCCCTGGCCTCTGGCTGTCCCCAGTAGTACCAGGGAGGGGACGCTCTGCCACACCCCTCACCATGGGCCTGGCCCGGGGGTGGGGGGGGCGGATGTTGGCGTTACGTCCCTCCCTCCTTCCCTATATATTTTTTGAGCACCTTCTAAACGTCCTGCATCCTCTCCTCTAAGTACAGGTCCCTGCCCTCAAGGAGCTTACATTGTAGTAAGGGGAGACAAAGAGGAAACATAACAAGTAAATTATACAGTGTGTTAGAAGGTGAAAAGTGCTATTTTAAAAAAGAGAGAGAAAAGGGACCAGTGTGAGGGGTCAGGGTGCAGGTGGGTGAGAGTGAGGGGTGTGCTGCTGTCTGAAAGAGGGAGGTGGGACAGGCCTCACTGAGAGGATGGCAGCTGAGCGGGGCCCACCCTCCCCACCTAAGGATTTGCGAACGTTTGCAGAGCGCTGGCAGCAGGCACTCGTTTTGACTATTTTCAGGGGCAGCGAGGGCAGCTGCTGACGTGGCTCTTCTGTCCGGCCCAGGCACGGCTCCTCCCGTCCTGGGCAGGGAGCGTTTCTGCTGTGGGTGGAAGTCCCAAGGGAGCGGGGCTGCTGGCCTGGCCTGGAGGGGACCTGCCGTTGGGGACGAACCAGTGTGAAACCTCGGTCTGTGCCAAGGATGTGGGCCTGTTTGGAACAGAGGAAGCCCCAGCTGACACACTGAAACAGGTCTCGGCTGGGCACGCTGACCAACTAGGCAGGGACGCCGGGGAGGGTACCTGGGGGCCGTGAGCCACAACACACGTGCCGCTAAGACGTGAGCGTCCTGTCCCGGCTCCCTCCGCGCCAGACCCGCCGTCCCCAGATACACACACTCCCACCACCCCACACGTCCTGCATCAGCAGACTCAGAAAGACCCACCGTCACACTCTCACACAAGAGTATCACAGCACAGACACACAACGCACAGACACACCCCGTACACACGCACAGTATATCACACACACACCAACCATCATGTCACATACATGACACACCCACCCCACACACCCTCAAGCGAACATACCCAACATATACACGCTACTCCACACAGACACATACATGCCACACCTCACTGACACGTATCATACACCCACCCATTGCCATATACACAGCACATCTGCCATCCACACCCCACACTTTGTCATAAAGTACAGGTCTGAAGCGTCTAGATGAGCTCTCTGGTACTGTCTCTGTCACTTACAGAGCCGGGACACCTGCGATGTGTCCCCTGACAACCACTTTATCTCTGTTCCACGGCAGGGAGGAGGGAGAACTTCAGAATTCTTGAAGTGTCACTTCATAAAATGTCCACTAAGGAAGGGGAGTTCTCTTTCACCACGTAGAGCTCTCTGGAACAAGGGGAAGATCTGGCATAAATACCAGAAACTGGGTTTTACTGCTAGCCTGACTGATTACCAGTTACATGTCACTAGGTAAGTTACTTTTCCCCTGTAAACCTCAGTTTCTTCTTCTGCAAAATGGGAATAAAAACTGCTCTTTCCAAACTTCTCAGATGAAGAGAAACTCTCTGTGAAATTGCTTTGTAACCTGAAGAAATACTGATACAAAATAGGATTGTCAGAAATTCATACAGGGCTTCCCTGGTGGTGCAGTGGTTAAGAATCCGCCTGCCAATGCAGGGAACACGGGTTTGAGCCCTGGTCCGGGAAGATCCCACATGCCGTGGAGCAACTAAGCCTGTGTGCCACAGCTACTGAGCCTGTGCTCTAGAGCCCGCGAGCCACAACTACTGAGCCCACGAGCCACAACTACTGAGCCCATGTGCCACAACTACTGAAGCCCGCGCGCCTAGAGCCCGTGCTCCGCAACAAGAGAAGCCACTGCAATGAGAAGACCGTGCACCACAACGAAGAGTAGCCCCCGCTCGCCGCAACTAGAGAAAGCCCGCGCGCAGCAACGAAGACCCAATGCAGCCAAAAATAAATAAATAAATTTATTTTTTAAAATAAGAAAGAAATTCATACAATTGTACATGCCTTGTTGTTCCTCCCTCATCTCAATCCCCCCACGCCCACCCCCACCCCTGCCACGCACACACACTTCCGGTCAAGTCCCGGCATCCTACACTCCGTGGGGTGGTATGAGCAGGGGTCCCTGCTGCTTCCAGGGGAGGCTGAACGGAGTCACACAGGAAGTGGGATGGTGCTGCAAGATGGGCTATCTCTTTCTTCTCAACCCAGGCCCCAGCAGGAAGTGATTCTTGCCAGCAACTGCCCTCCCATGGGCTGTCTGGGGCAGAGAAGTCACAGCCACGATGGGGAGAACACCAGTGCAGGACAGAGAGCCCAGCTCAGGAGGAGAGACACAGAGCTGGGGCATCTATCACTCGGCGCCAGCCTGCCCATCTGCTCGGGGCTGACACTTTGCAGAGAGCGCTGGAAGGACGTCTACACTGGAAGAGAGCTTCTTTGGGCAAGGTAAGAGCTGCTCCAAGCCATCGCAGGGCTGGGGGTCCTAGGCAAGAAGAGAACTAGGTCCCTGTAAAAACATGCAGTAAGATCTTGAAGCTTCCTGAAAGATGGGGACTCTGTCCTTCTCAAAATCCACAAAGGCTATAATAGCTTGGGTGGGCACAGGTCGGCAGCTCCGAGCCATTGCTAAATTGTGTCTGTTTCATGTAACAATCCTAAAGGCAGTCTGGGGCTGGGGCAGTAGCCCTGTGGCTCTGGGGACCAGGTTCACTGCAGTTTCTCTGCCATCATCTTCATGGTCCAAAATGGCCCACTGATGTGTCTGCAGTCCAGTGGTGGGATATTGTGGGGCAGCCTGCAGTCTCTGTCACAAAAGGCAAGGAAAGGAGCCCTTATGTAGGTCATTCTCTCTTGTCATCGCTTCCTCCACTTTTTTCTTTACCTGTCTCTCGGTTCTGTGCTGGGGGGGCTCACCCCTGCAGACTGAGTCCTCCTGGCTCCTTTGCCTCTAGCTTCCTGTTGGGTTAACCAAGGGAGGTGCAGGGGGATTCTGGAAGGCAGAGGAGAGAGCCCTGGAGTATCTCTCCCCTGCTCCCCGCTCTCTTCACCAGCATGTATCCATCTGCCGGTATGACCCCCACGGTCGCAGTTCCCTCAGGAGATCCCTCCTCCATGGCTCCAGCTCTCAAGGGGCCCAGACCACAATTTCCTTTCCTAATTCCTTCAGCCTGGGAGTGATGAAGTCTTCCCACCGCTGCTAGTCTCTATGAGCCTCTTGCTTCCCTGTCTGTTCCCCTAACCTGCCCACACCTCTGTCAGTAATCTCTTTATTACAGCATCTTCATGGGTACCATCTGGGGTGATTCTGTTTCCCACAGAGACCTTAATGGACACAGCCCTCAAGGGAAATGATGTCTAAACACCCGGCTCACATGGAATATGCTTGACTCTTGGAATTTAAGCTCTGGATCATCATCAATGACCCTTCTCCCTCCTCTCTCCTTGCAGATTCTGCCTTCTCCTATATTTCTTTCTAGATATGCCCTGTGTCCCCCAAGAGTTTTTTTTTTGGATGTGGAGCATTTTTAAAGTCTTTATCGAATTTGTTACAATATTGCTTCTGTTTTATGTTTTGGTTTTTTTGGCCGCAAGGCATGTGGGATCTTAGCTCCCTGACCAGGGATCAAACCCACACCCCCTGCACTGGAAGGCGAAGTCTTAACCACTGGACCTCCAGGGAAGTCCCTCCTCCAAGGCTTAATCTGAACACACAGGTGCAATGTAACACCTTCCATCAAATGAGAAATGACCATCTCAGTGCCTAAATGAACTGGTTGAGAACAGAGGACCCAAGGGGATGAGACTGCCTTTCTCAGCCTCCACTGAAAGCTTGGGGGCCTCAAACTCACCTGGCAATATTCCACCTCATGCAGAAATCATGTGAGCAGCCTCCCTGGCGGATGGCCAACCAATTTCTGCTTGTGTCCTTCTGGTGACGGGGAGCTCAGTACTTCTTGAAGCAGTCCATTCCTAATGGCTTGCTCTCAAACTAGTGAGAATCAAAATCTGTCTCCCTCCACTTTCTACCCACAGGACACAGTTGTGACCTTCGCACAAGTGTTGTGGACTTTGAAGACGTCAGTAATTGTGTCCTCCTGAGTCTTCTTCTCTCAGGCATTTCACGTCTAACCCAGCCTTCCCGTGGCTTTCAGGTGACCTCCCTCTCTCCCTCCCTCCCTTCTTACCTTGATATGAAGAGTTTACAGACTATTTCCTGGGGAGATGGAAGAAGAATCACATCTCACCTCACACAGCAGAAACTTGATAACATTTCCCCTTAAACGTTTCTGACTTTTCCTCCAAAGCTCCTTTATCCTGCTGCTACTTCACCTTTCTTCCCCTCCCCCGCCCCCTCCTCGAGAGTGGTCCTTTCACTGTGGGACTCAGAATCTCTCCGCAGCCTCCAGGCCCACGGCATAGTGTGCGAGACTGTACTCTTCTCAGTCACCACCAGAGGTCTCCCTACTTGAGTCTGGTTTGCTCCCGTTCCAAGCCACCGTGCATCTTGGACAGTGGTTTTGCCCGTGCTGTTCCCTCTCGAGACTGTCCTTTTACCAGTGTCCATTTTTTGCCATCTGGATTAAAATATCCATTTATGGAGCTCCTAATTATCTTTCAGATATCAACTGATATGGAGTCTCTGAGGAGCGTCCCGGACCTTTCTGGTCCTGAGAAGTGAGATAACATTGCCCCAGCACTCTCTGTACCCCACTAGAGTACTCATGACATGGTATCCTCAACGTGATGGCTTTTCTATCCTTGAACATAAGCCTTGTACATCTGATACTCTCTACACCAAATATAGGCCTCGTATAATACGCTGAGCAATGTGGAATATGGGACTATCACCTCCCTTGTTCTTGTTTTTACATCTTTGTGGCTAAAGATGGCAAAAAAAAGTTTTTATTTTGTTTTAGTCTTGGAGCCAACCCAAATTCCTAGACTTTTTCCCAAGGATCTTTCCTGAGTCAGATGTTCCCTGATCCTGAATTTGTGAAATTAATTTTTTTGAGTCCAAGGAGATAATGTTAACAGGGACCTGTAGCAAATCTCTCCTTGTTCATTTTGGCCTCTCATCCATCTTTACAAGGTCTCTGTGGACCTTGGTTGTGTATAGAGCACAATTCCCCAGGTTTTTGTTCATGAAGGCCCACCGCATACCAGTGAAAGCTGTACCTTCCCCCATGACTCTCAGGTGGAGCACACGACCATCAAAACACAGTAGCTTCCCCTCCTTTGAAGGTCAACTCTGAGCATTTCTGTCACCTGTCTTTATCCTCAAAGTCAACCAAATTCCAAAATGCTCTCCCATAACCTTGGACACGTAGTAGGTGCTCAAAAAATGTTAGTTCCCTTTTACGCTACACAATGATCTCAATACTTTCTTGTTACTCATTCATTCAGTAAAGAAATCACGTTTACATGCTAGTTCTACAAGATACAAAGATTTTTAAAATACACTGATTCATCAAAAGAAAAAAATTAAAAAGACATGCTTCCTGCCAACAAGGAGCTTAAAATAAGATATAAACAAGCAAGTGAACAATGATAAGACACTGTAAACAAGTGTTACATAGTCTCTCCTTCCAAATTTTTGAAAATTCTTCTATATAGTTTCCTGCAATATTTTAGAATGAGGTAGTATCTCAGTCTTCCTAGGGATAGCCATAAACAGAACAAGCATTGGTACCAAAAAGGTATCATTAGATTTTGGAAGAAAGTATATCACCCATGTGTGCAATTCTACATCAATAAATACCTGTAGTCATTCATTCAACCACCAAACATTTATAGAAACTGTGTTAGGCAAGATGCAAGTTAGGTTGTTGTAACAAAGACGCCCCAAATTAAAGAGGTTTAAGCAACAGAGAAGTGTATTTCTCTGTCATACGAAGAAGCACAGTTGGTAAAATAAGAAACCATATAGGCAAGCCATATTGCATAAAGTCCTCTGTCAGTGAGGCAGGCTGGAGGAGAAATATTGTGCACTGTGAGCTCTGCCTCTGCCATGCTCTGTTAGCCTGGAAAAAGTAAATGCCAAAATAAGTCAGACACACAGCCCTGTGTCCTAGGGAAGATTCCAGCTGTCCTGAAACACAGTCCTGCCCTGCTCCCCAGTGAATGTCTTACAAATATCTAGTTGAGGAAGAATTTGTCTCATTCACAGATAAATAATAATCAAAGAGGAACATGGTATCTATAAAAAGATACTCCATAAAAATAGGAAAGTGACAGAATATTTGTCAGAGGAATGCCAGAATGATAGAAAAAGAACACTACACAGCAGTTGGAAATTGTGTTCAAATACATCACCATGAATTTTATAAATGTAATAAAGCAAATTCTTCTATTACACAAAAATTCTAAGCAAATACGTAAGAGGTCCGGGAAGATCAGACAAGACAACAGAGGAGATAAGACAGACCCTGATGGAGATCTTGAAAAGAAGTGAAGAGAAAAAGAAGCATTCCAGAAATGAACAGTACACCAGGAGCAGCAGCAGAACAGACACTGGAAAACACAAAGAGAGATGGAGTATTTCTTTATCTTATCCCAAATCAAAGAGACATACTTTGGAATGAACAAACAATTTAAAACAGGAGAGAAAATTATAGCTATGGAAGACAAATGATGAACATTCAATAGAGGGAAACTATACCCAAAGACATCATAGGAATTGAAAGAACTTGAAGAAATATTTAAAGGTATAATTTTTTTTTTTTTTTTTTTGCGGCACGCGGGCCTCTCCCTGTTGTGGCCTCTCCTGTTGCGGAGCACAGGCTCCGGACGCGCAGGCTCAGTGGCCATGGCTCACGGGCCCAGCCTCTCCGCGGCATGTGGGATCTTCCCGGTCCTGGGCACAAACCCGTGTCCCCTGCATCGGCAGGCGGACTCTCAACCACTGTGCCACCAGGGAAGCCCGTTGCCTTTGCCTTTAGTGTCAGATGCAAAAACTCATTTCCAAGACCAATGTCAAGGAGCTTACCCCCCACGTTTTCTTCTAGGAGTTTTGTTTTGTTTTGTTTTGTTGCGGTACGCGGGCCTCTCACTGTTGTGGCCTCTCCCGTTGCGGAGCACAGGCTCCAGACACGCAGACTCAGCGACCATGGCTCACGGGCCCAGCCGCTCTGCGGCATGTGGGATCTTCCCGGACCTGGGCACGAATCCGTGTCCCCTGCATCGGCAGGCGGACTCCCAACCACTGCGCCACCAGGGAAGCCCCCTAAAGGTATAATTTAAAGTTTCTGAAACATGGCAGATTGAACTTATGAGTTCTTGCCACTTCTTTCTTAAATACCGTTAGTATGCTAGTAAAGGTGTAAAAAGCCCATAGCACCACAGGAACAAGAGAATTGGGGGAAGAAACAACAGCAGAGAGGAGATGTCAACAAAATTTTAGAAATTGGAAAAGAAATGACTGTGTGCTAATCCAACAGGCGGGAAAAACCCCCACGTTCTCGCTTGGTGGAGGAGACAGCCGAGGATCTAATACACAGAGCAGATTCCTGGAGACCCTCAGGAACTGGAGGCACCAGGAGGGGGCAGCAGAGTCACAATATCTGTTCTCTTCCTTCAGAGTAATGGAACGGGAGCTGGGCACATGATCGCTCAGCTGGACTCTACGTTTTCCGTCCTCCCTTGCATCTGACTGTGGCTATGGCCTAAGTGATCAGTGACCAAGTGTGTGTGAGGTAATGTGTGCCATTTCTGAGTCTGGGCCCAAACACCCTGGGTGTCTGCTATTCTCTCATCTTTATCCTTTTCAGAACCGGAACACAGAGATGCCTTTGGCCCGGCTTTGACCATGCAGAGGAGGACCGTGTCCTAGGAGACAGTAGAGCAACAAGATGGAAGAAACCTGGGTTCCTGAATGACAACGTGGAGCAAAGACTCTCGCCAACCCAGACTGCCCACCACGGCACTGTTTCATGTAAGAACATGTAAGAAACTTCTATTTTCTCTAAGCCACTACATGTTTAGGCGTTTCTGGTTTTGTTTGTTAGTTACACTGGCTTTAGCCAGTTACCTGAACTAATGCGACCAGAGTATGGAGTAGAGCTAAAAGCAGGAGTATTAGTTGAGAGTCTGAGTAAAAGTCAATAACAGTCCTAGATTTTCTTCTCCACTCACCGAGCCTGTAGGTCTCCCTCCTCCACCTTAGCAAAACCACGGGAGGTCTACTCAGAGGAAATGTTTTACCCTCTGGCCTCAGGGGCACCAGGCTTAGTCGCAGGTGGGCATTAGATGCTGGAATTAACATGGGATTAAATATGGACAATACCATGAGCACTGAGGCTCCTGCCCTCTCAGGCCACAGAGCCCAAACATTGTCCTCTGTCCTCTGCTCTAGAATGCTGGTAGCAGATGTATTACTCCAAACCCACACGCCAAGCAGGAGATTAGTAGATTCCTCTCGGGGGGAATTGGCCACCTTCTTCCCCAGAAAGATTTATAGGAATTCACATTTGGGGATCCCTACACAGTCACCGACAGTGAAGGCCACCAGTTGACAAGCCCTACTCATGCGCACAGGCTTTCCAGTAAATGTTTTAGTGCCTTACTAAAGGATTTCCAGAAATTATCACAAAGTTTTAACATGAAAGATGGAGGCCAAACAGAAAAACAGCACACCTAGAAAACAATTTAGAAAACACAAAAAACAAGCAGATAGAAAAAACTAAAACTATGCCACTAATATACTCAGAAAGATAAAAGAAGATTCATAAATGTGAAACAAGAGTAGGCTGTTTAAAAAAAAAAAAAGAGCAGTCACAGGACAAAAAAGATCCAATGAATTTTATTTAAGAAAAACCATAAATGATTTTTATGATTTACAGAAAGAATATAAAATTATAGGACTCCTCCTATAAAATTATAGGACTCCTCCAAAACCTAGTATGAGAAGAAAATAGGAGAAGAAAATGTGACAAAATTAGAAAATCAATCCAGAGATGCAGCATTTGATGAGTAGAAATTCCAGAAAGAAATAACAGAAAAACAGATTGGGGAAACATTTTTTAGGTAAATAATTTTTAAAAAAACTTTCCAGAATAGATAGGCATGAGTTTCCAGATTGAAAGGATACCCAAAGCACCCTGTGAAATGGATGAAAAAGAATTCATACATAGCATACCACGGTGGTGTTACAGAGCCCCAGGAATAAAAAGAAACTTCCAGAAAAAAATTTTAAATAAGAAACACAAAAAAATCAAGAATTAGAAAGACATGAGACTTCTTAATAAAATCATACCCTTGTGGGCAATGTAGGTATGCCTTCAATATTCATAGCAGAAATGTTTTCCAACATGGAACTACACATCAAGACAAAATAATTACTCAAGTTTGAGTAGAGCTATTTACACATGTGCAAGACTTCCAAAAACTTACCTTCTGAGCATTCTTTCTCAGGAACCTAGTGGAGGATGTACTGCAAAAAAATAAGGGAGTAAAAAATCAAGAAAGAGGAAGATATGCAATCCAGGAAAACACAAGAAACTGGCAATGAGAATGCCCAGGATGACAGTTTAAAAAAAAAACAACAGCAAAAACAACAGCAAGCTAGCAGCGGTGCAGTGAGCCCACAGAGCAATCAACGCAGAGGGCGCAGGTCAGGAAGCTCCACACCAGGAAAGGTATCTCCCAGGCAATTCAACTGACAGAATACTTTATGTGGTGATGTAAACTCATAGCAGAGCATTGGGAATGAAACGTTCTAAGTACTTAAAAATATGGTAAATCAATAAAGAAAAAGTTGTTTACTCCAAGAAAAATTTTAAATGTACAAATTAGGGAAAGTAATTATGGTATACTTCAAGATTCAGCTGTGAATAACATGTACGGAGTCACCACTGAATGGAAATGGAAACCCAGCAAGACACCATTCACCCCACCAAATTAGCAAAACTTAAAAAATCAGACAATATCAAGTGCTTGCAGTGAATTTGGTGTACTAGGGATCCCCCGTCCTCCACACATACACAAACATACACACTTCTAACGTGAGTTTCAATTGGTGGAACCTCTTGCGATAATAAATTGTAATTATCTATAAAGTTGAAAATGCACATGGTCTACAACCCAACAATTCCACCCCCTGAGTATATACTTGACAGAAATGTATGTGTATGAATGTCCAAGGTAGCAAAAAACTGGAAACAATGGGAAGCAATTCAAATGTCCATCCACAGTAGAATGTGTAAATAAATGATAATATATTCATATAATGGAATACTTCAAAGGAAATGATACGGTTCCTACTTCTTAAAGTTGGCAGAGATTACACAGGAGTTGGTTTCATTCTTCCTTCAAGAAGTCCTTCCAATTCCTCTGTCCCTGCCCCTGAGCAGCTGTCAGGGGAGGAGAGATGCTTAGAGATCTGAAGCCTAACTGGCTTCACAAACGAAGGGACAAGAAGAGGACACATGTCAGGCTTTCCAAAGGGCGTGTTTTGAAACCCTTCGTCTTAGACAAACCCTCAGTCTTAGTCTGCCTAGGATGCCCTCCTTTCCTTCTCAGTACCCACCGGTAACAACCTCTTCATCTTTTAAGGCCCTCCCTCCAAATCCTTTGTCCATCCACCTGTTGAGAAAACTGAAGTTGAAAGCAGCCGAAGAATATGCTTGGGGAACACAGCCATGGAGAAGCAGCCCTGGCTCTCTAGAATCTGTGTCCTGTTTACAGGCAGCATCCAAGACTAATTCACACCTGCATTCATACCACCCTTGAAGATGGTCCTTTGTAAACAGTAGGTGCTCAACAACTGCCACGTCCCCCCTCCAGGTCCTTAGGTAAGTTTAAATAAGAGTGTTGTTAAAACTATTAATATTTTGATGCTGCTACACAGAAAATGACCAGCAGATGGCAGCATGGAGCTCTCCTGGCTCCTAAGGTCCCACTTGCAGGTGTAGGGGAGAAAAGTTTGTTTTTCTTTTCCATCTTCCAAACTCTGCTGTCAGTGCCTCCGAATGCCCATTGCTCCCGTTTGAAACACCTGTCCTCCTACTCCTTTGATGAAAAAATGTACTGGGCATCTGTGGAAGCCGCAGTGTGGGACACAGTGGCAGGAGGAGAGCACAGGGACATGCAACAAGGACGTGAACACTTTTACTCTCTACAGAGACTTAACATGCCGATTCCCATGGCAAGCCTGTGGTACAGTGGCAGGGAAGGCGGCTTACTTAAGGTTCCAGTTTTCACTTGGGGAAACTGAGGCTCAGAGAGGCAAGGTGATGTGCTCCAGGACACACAGCAAGGTCAGATTTTCTGACTCCTAATTCAGTGCACCAAGTTAGTTTTGCCATTAGTTTCTCAAAGGCAAAATCTACCCTGAAGGCACTTTCAGCTTACATATGCAGATAGGAGACCTGAGAGTTAAAAAATAATGCAAAATGCCCCACCTCCCCAGAGGGTTCAATGCCTTGTCCAGGCTTTCCTGTGGCTGCCCTGCCCCCAGTTTGAATAACTTATCCTCCAGGCACTCTTCGCTTGGGGTCTGTGAACACCCTAGGAGTAGTATCCCCCATGAGCAGGGGAGATTGTATATATATATGAGCACATGCATGAGTGTGTGTATCCACACTTATGTGTTCCCGGTTTCTTCACATGCCCCCACCAATAACTGTGCTAGTTATTCATGTATTATTCCTCAACTCCAAATTCACCCACCAATACCAGCTCTGTGCTGATGGGCAGAATTCCCATAAGCATCTCTCCTGTACAGTGAGCATAGTGCTATAATGTAAGCTTTCTCAGTAGAGGGTGATGGGAGAACACTGCAGGAGGAAGGGGCTTCAATTGCTGGCTTTGCCGGTTATAAGACATCCTGTGGTGCTCTGCCCCACCCATGTGCCCAGAAGGTCCTCCAGAGACCTTGCAGTCCTGCCTGGCCTGGTGATCATTTTCCCATGACCCTCCCAACCCAGACACTGTACGTGCCATGGCGCCCGCCTACACTGCCACTTGACCCCCTCTACATGCCCACATGCCCACCCAGCAGGTTGTGGCTCAACTGTGCCCTGGAGGTTTGCTTCCTCCTTGTCCGGCAGCTGCAGACCAGCTCCGGCCCAGGCACCAGCTAATCTCTCAGCCTCCAGTGGGGGCCATGACACCTTCTCCAACGGGGTCTGATCCCCAGCCTGGGAAGGGGGCCCCCTTCCATGGGTCCTCTTCCTCAGCTGAAGGGAGAGTAGCCTTATAGGGTTCTGTTTACGTCCTATAGTTATTCTTTTATCATAGCACAATATTCTTTCATTAAAGTCCCATTTCTTAAACCCCTATGTGGTTTCTGTCTCCTGATGGGACCCAGACTGGGACTTGTGTGCTTGTGGCCCCCCAAATATTAAGATCCTGGGACTTCCCTGGTCCAGTGGTTAAGACTCTGTGCTTCCAGTGCAGGGGGCACGGGTTCGATCCTTGGTCATGGAACTGAGATCACACATGCCGCATGGCACTAGCAAAAAAATATTTTAAAAATCCAAAATATTAAGATCCACCATACCTAGACCCAGATAAGACAAAAATATAAAATTCTCAGCTCATTGCTGAGCACACAGAGAACAATAAACCTAAGTTTTTGTGTTACTACCGTATGCTGGGGATGGAGATCACTTCCCCTGTTGCCACAAAGGGTTGGCAGCTCTGGCATCTCCCTTAAGGGGTCCCTCTTTCTTGTTTAGCTTGAGTTGCATTCTCTCCTGGTGTAGCAGTAAAATAACAAGCAATTAGAGCTATCATTTATAGAGCCCACACTTCATTTCAAGTGGTGTGCTATTAGCTCCATTTTACAGATAAAAAAAAAAAAGCAAAGGACTAAAGAAGTTAGGAACTTGCCCAAAGTTTCACAGCTGGTCCAGGAAGAGCTGGATTTTGAACCCCACTATATCCAATTCCAAAGCCCAAACTCTTAAAGACCATGATATACTTCTTCATAGCAAACATCTATCGCTGTGTCAAGCTCTGTGCTAGACGATTCACAGTAGTTATATAATGTCTCCTATAACAGCTGTGTATGATAAGCAGTTGTGTACATTTTATAGATGAAGAGACTAAATTTCTTACCCGAGGCCACTCAGCTAGTGAGTGTGGAGACAGGGTTTGATACTGGCCCTCAACTCCAGAGCCCACAATTTTATTTTATTTTTTTCATAATTTTGGAATTAGTAAGGGCTCTCTTTATTAAACAAGAGCACAGGTATAAAGAATATTGTTGAAAGATTTGATTACACACACATAGACTGAATTACATACCCATATACATGAGTACACAGAAAACCTTATCCTAAACAAATAACATAATAATAATCTCTAATGGCAAAAGTTACCAAAAACTAAATTTTAAAAACCAACAACAGCTTGGAAAAGAATTTTTTTTAAATATGTGCAGTGTGAACTTCAGAGCCCACATTTTTTTTTTTTTACATCTTTATTGGAGTATAATTGCTTCACAATGGTGTGTTAGTTTCTGCTTTATAACAAAGTAAATCAGTTATACATATACATATGTTCCCATATCTCTTCCCTCTTGCGTCTCCCTCCCTCCCACCCTCCCTATCCCACCCCTCTAGGTGGTCACAAAGCACTGAGCTGATCTCCCTGTGCTATGCGGCTGCTTCCCACTAGCTATCTATTTTACATTTGATAGTGTATATATGTCCATGCCACTCTCTCACTTTGTCCCAGCTTACCCTTCCCCCTCCCCATATCTTCAAGTCCGTGCTCTGGTAGGTCTATGTCTTTATTCCCGTCTTACCCCTAGGCTCATCATGACATTTTTTTTCCCCTTAGATTCCATATATATATATCTGTTAGCATACGGTATTTGTCTTTCTCTTTCTGACTTACTTCCCTCTGTATGACAGACTCTATGTCCATCCACCTCACTACAAATAACTCAATTTTGTTTCTTTTTATGCAGAGCCCACATTTTTAACGTCTACAGTGTACTATTTCCCAGCTCACATACTGGAAGTGATTTTGGGGGTGAGAATGTACCCTGACCTGGGGGCCATGATGGGTGAAACAACGGAAAGCACATGGTGCCTGACTTCATATTCGATGTCCATCAGTTGTCAGTCATGTCATATGTGTTACAAGATAGGAAGCTAGTAAAGGAGACCCGTACCAGCAGATGTGTCTCTCTCCCCTCATCATCGCCCTACTGCACCTGACCTTAACCCTCACTCTAAGGAGGAGGGATGATCTGCAGGCACCTCTGTAGGACTGCTTTGGAGTGACCTATGATCATCTCCAAACCTCGTCTAGGGAGGGGATTCCCTGACACTCAATGGGGCAGGCACAGCCCCCTAGAGCATCTTGTCAGCACCCCATGCTCTGATTCTATACTCATCAATGGTGTCAATCCTAGTGATTAGTCCCCTTTGTATGGTCTCATGATTGTTCACTAATTTAGCTCTAAGACCCTAGCAGCTGATGGAGAGAGGGAAATATGACACATTATAAGATTCAGAGTATTTGCAGGTTGCTAAGAAAAAGCAACTATTCTAGGGGCTTCCCTGGTGGCGCAGTGGTTGAGAGTCCGCCTGCCGATGCAGGGGACACGGGTTCGTGCCCCGGTCCGGGAGGATCCCACATGCCGCGGAGAGGCTGGGCCCGTGAGCCATGGCCGCTGAGCCTGCGCGTCCGGAGCCTGTGCTCCGCAACGGGAGAGGCCACAACAGTGAGAGGCCCGCGTACCGCAAAAAAAAAAAAAAAAAAAAAAAAAAAGCAACTATTCTAGATAGTGAGGCCAAAAAGCATATTTACTTCGATGAGTGGTCCCCATGAAGAGGCCACTGTGAATGTAATAAGCTATGCCCTCAACAGCATCCCTACAACAGATAGGGGCTCAACGTTCAAAACTGTATTTTGTATAATGTCCCTCAGTGTAGGTCGAAGGCCACCAACCAAAGCAGAAAACATGAAAAGTAATTCTCCAGGAAGCCATGGGAGGTAGTCACAGCACAGAAGTCTGCTGCTCTGGCTGAATTGGTAATATATTTAAGAATACATGTCTAGAGATTGAACAGATTACATACTTTATAGGCGCTTGTCCACCAACAGCATTTCTATTAGCCAAGCTTTTGAAAAGTACTTTGTGTCTATGGGTTTTAGCTTCTACTTGCAGTGGTGGTGCTTTCCATGGCCAAATAAGAAATGAGCCACATGCCTTAATAATAAACTGGGCTGGAACTTTTATTCGATCCTCTTATGAAAACTCAGGCACCGACAAGAACATGTCCCTGAAGAGAAGGCCAGCCCACATCCCCTCCAAAGTGCGTTGAGGGAGTCCTTGCTGGCAGAGCCAAGATTTCATTTGGGAGGAACTTTGAGAGTTCTCTAGCAATGCAACAGATGGGTAATTGAGGCCCCACAGTTCCACATCCTAAAGTGTGAGAGCAAGAAAAATTAGCCTAGAGACATGGTAAAGCGGGTTGCTAACCATCTTCCCTATTTGGCCACACACGCAAAAACCTGCAACACGTCTCATTTTGAGCAACAGATCTGCTAGTTAAACTGGTTGTGAAATGTCCTCCCAAAGTAACTGAATAAGGTAACTTACTATTTATAATTATTTTCTATACATCTCCCTAAAGTTGGAGGCTAGCTATTAAAATTATTATCTCAGATCCAGAATGTTTCTGGAGGTAATTAGATAGTAGTATCAATTGTCTATTAAGACCATTCCTGGTCCATGAGGTGAAAATGAGGTAATTTGCATCCCAAAGACTGCTTGGCTTTCTGTTTTCCAACGCAGGGCAGGATGGCACGGGGAGACCACATTTAACTGCGCGCCTGGCACAGACACTGACCCTTCAGAACTGACACTGGCTGGCGGGCTGCACTAAGTCCAGCAAGAAGCAAACCTGCAGCTCATCCAAAAGTGGTTTCAAGTGATAAAGATCAAGTTAAGAAGGACCTTCTATTTACTAGACTATTACTGCCCGATTCATAATTGTTGAATAAAGCAGTTAGATCTTCAAAAAACAAAAAAGATCAAGTTAATAATAAAAGAAGCCAGGACACATCTTTGTTTGACCCGACTGGACGTTATGAATAGTGTAGACCATAATTTTCCCTACATATTGTGTCAAAGGCTGGGAAAGGATCAGCAAAAGTCACAAGCCATTTAATACAATTTTTGGCAGATTTTGCCTCAAGGCCCTATAAATTAGAGCGGATGACTGTGCACACAGCTTGCAAGCTGTGCACGGAGAAAGTCAGGCTTGCAAATTGTTAAACAAAAGCCGAACTGTTGGATTTTGCTTGTACTTGCTGGAGTAGAGTGAGCAGCTTGTCCTGGTTTGCCAGAGACTTCTCCAGTTTGAGTCTGAATGCCCAGGGTCCTAAGAAACCCTTCAGTCCCTGGTAAACCAGGATGGTGGGTCACCCTACCTGGAGGTCTTCCTTACAAGCTGGTGATCTTGGGCTGGACATCCGCATTTGGAGGTGAGGCACAAAACACCACCTGGAATCTCTGGGTGGGAATTGGGCTTGTTGACTGATGGAGTTCACTGCAGGGTGTTTAAGCATCCATCAGCGTTGGCATTGAGAGAACCAGTAACTATCAGTCATTGGAGGACATTTGTCTGGGATGCTCATTTTCTGCACAGATGTATCCTCCAGTTACCTGCTTGTGGATGGTAAATCAGGTTGCTCACTTGCTGGGGACTGGGGTCCCATTATTCAATATGCAGATTTTCGCTTATTCCTTGCTTAGCCCAGTACCTTACCTCCTCCTCCCAAATTCATTGCCTTACATCTACCATTTTGCTGTCCACACAGTTCAGCTTATATGACAAATAAGTCTCCTTTCTCCCATATCTCCCTGAAGGAGACAGGGAAGGTGACCTAGGGTTTCCACCGGTGCCCCTGTCGCCCTGTGGGTGGGGTGGGGAGAAATAGCTGGCTTCTCCTTGTTTTCTCCCTCTGGGGGCCCCCATGTCGAAGCCTCCTCTATTCTACCAAGTTAGTTACCACTTCTCCATATGTTTTCTGTCATCTAAAAATGTGTTAAAAATTCTCGTCCACTATTTTCTTCTCTCTTGTTCCTTTGCTCTCGTAGGGTTTTACCTTTGCTATTCCTCTCTTGTGCTTTTTCCAGGATTTGGGGAGGAAGAGGAAATAAACTTGTGCTGCCAATCAACCACACTTAACAGGACATCCATTACTCCAGTCTCTCTTTTTGTATCATGTGATGGATGGATGTTGGCATTTCTGCAACGATCTTCCATGTCCATTATCTTTTCTAGTTTCTATTTATTTCCCTTCCTGTTATTTTCAGGGAAAACTGCTTGGTCCAATCTTTTAGCTCATGAGCTCTTCAGCTGCACACATTCTACTACTTAGCTCATCCACTGAGGCAGTTTTTTTCACTATAATTATAAATGATGTATTTTTTATTTCCAACATCTCTAACTGATTCTTTTTATCCTCTCTTATTTGAGAACATTCATTATGTTTACTTCAGAGCTCAGTACTGGTTGTCCTATTTGTTCTGTTTAATCTTGGAATCTGGAGCAGACAGCCTGGGGGACAGAAATGTGCTTCACACACTAAGCTGTATGACTTTGCAGGAAGTTACTTAATCACTTATACCTTAGTTTAGTTTCCTCATTTGTAAAATGGGGATAAAAATAGTTCTACCTTAAAAGATTCTGGTAGGGTCAAAGTTCTCTTGTTTTTTGTTTAAAATGCATGCGGTACATTTAGAATAGTGCCCAACGTATAAATACTCAGTAACTCTTTCCTAGTGTTGGTGCTTCTCCAGTGACCTTTAATCTTTTGACAATGAATTTGTGTTTTCCTATGAGATTTCCTGCAAGAAATCTGCTTGCATAACCCACTCTGAGGAGGGGTGAAAACCATTTTGCAAATGTGTGTTCCACATTGCTTCCAGGGAGAGTGCAGAATGGGCTGGATGCCTCACGAGTGGATGCTCTTTTGGGTGGTCTTTGGGGCTTAGCTGCTACCTTTCTTCCCTGGCTTTGCCATCCATCTGGGCCCTGCACCGTCTCTCACTCCCTTAATACAGCTTGCACCTGGAGCTTGGCCACCTTGTTTGCAAGGGTGGGATTTAGGGAGCTCTCCAGGAGTCAGCTCATCTAGCTTCTCCCATGGGGATGCTTGTCTAACCTTCCCAGCAGTACTCCATTGTCCCCGTCTTGCTCCACGCCTCGCCTATCTCCGGGCATGGAGTGCCCTTGTTGCTGTTCTCACTTTTGTAGTATATATTGTAGTGTAGACATTCAAGAATATATGTAGTTGTAAAGCAACTATACTCCAGTAAAAATTAATTTAAAAATTAAAATTTTAAAAATCAAAAATAGAATTTATGTAATGTACGCTCATGAGCTGGGCTGTAATGTTAAATCTCGTTGTGTCTGCTTTCAGTTTCTTAGAAATTCCTCAGCACTTCTGATTCTCTGAACATCTGTCATCTTTTTTGAGGACACTAACTTTTTCCTTTCCTGTCATTTCTGGAGTTTGTGTCAGGTACTCAGTCCACTGTGATGAAGAAGGAAGTCAGAGGATTTCTAGAAAAGATGAAAATTAAGCAGAATCTTGGAGAATGAACAGGAGCAGCCTAATGAAAAGGGAGAGAAGGACACTGCAGGCTGGAAGACGGCAAGAGCAAAAGTATGGGGACACACATGACACGGTACGGTAGCGGGGGGAGCAGGGAATACAGGCACTTGACATTTCGAGAGAAATAGGACCTGTATGAGCTGCAAAGGGAGAGGCAGGGCATGGTCTTCTGTGCCAGGTTAAGAGGTTCAACCTTATCCTGGAGAGTTCCAGATGGTTCTAAAGGAATGGCATAGTCAGATGCGCGTCTTGTGCCACTCTGGAGGGTAGGTTTGAGTGGAATGACACTGGAGCCAGGAAGACAAGCTAGAAAGCTCCTGCAGAAGTCCAGGTTAGAAATCATAAGACCCTAGAAACCAGGGCAGTGGTACTTAGGGGGTGGAGAGTAGGGGGTCAGTGCAATAAATATTTAGGAAGAAGAATCTGCAGACAGGGAGGATTTTCTAATAGTATTGGTTTTCTTTAGGTAGACTAGAAAGAGACTTCAGTCTTCTTCCAGTATGGTCATATGTTTTTGTAAAATTTGTAAAAGTAAGCTATTTTCGCTGCAAATAGTTAATACTGCTGGTAGTATCATGTAAATTTTTACAACTATTGTCAAAGTTGGAAATACTTCTACCAAGTTTCATGTATGAACTATGAGATTGCAGGGCATTTTAAGTTTTCTTGTACAGTGTCTAATCTTAAATACTTCTTGAATCGATACAAGTATTTTCCAGTTTAACATGAATGTTCCGATTGTGGTGGTGAATTGAGTTTTGTGTTATCCTTGTAGATGTAAGTATTTCATATAAAGTTAACATGAAATTTAATATTTTCTTAGTGTATGCCTCTGGAATTTACAGACTTCATTAGGATGAAATACATCAGAGAAGCTAAGATGCAATCTGATACAGTGAGATGCATGAAGCATTTAATTTCACATGCAGGCATGCTTCGATGTGCAGTACTCTCACAGTTTGTGCCTTATTACACAAGAGTTTAATAAAATATATTCCCTGAAATTGTTCAGAAAAGATGTATGTATATATGTGTGTATGTTATCATTGTATAGGTTACCTTATCAAGTATATTCTCTATAGGAAAGAACTTTTTTTTTCTTTTTATTGAAGCATAATTGACTTACAATGTTGCATAAGTTTCAGGTGTACAGAAAAGTGATTCAGATATATATATATAAATATATCTATATAAATATAACTATATATCTATTCTTTTTCAGATTCTTTTCCACTATAGGTTATTACAAGATATTGAGTATAGTTCCCTGTGCTATACAGTTGGTCCTTGTTGGTTATTTTATGTACAGTAAGAGAACTTTTGTTTTAAATAGGCATGGACAAGAATAGAATTACATGCTTAAAACTTTATACATACAGTGGTTGAAAGAGTTTTCCATTGACCAATTTCTGGCTCTATAAATGTAGAGTCTTGTTTCTCCTCTGCTACCTACATACTTCTGAGAACAGATGCTATTTGGACACGTTTGTTATTGAGATACCATCTCTGGCTCTACTGGCTGAATCAGAACAGTGTTCCTAAAAGCTATTCCCACACTGGGAAGACTAGCAGTAACGTAATTACACATAGGAGTGACTGCTAACAACATAAACATAACCTACTAAACCCAAACTAAATGTATCTCCAGCTCACCTTTCCCTAGCCAGACCCTCAGGTGCCCATGGGCACTCCAACTCACGGGAGGGGCTTGAGAAGAACTGAGATGCAGGAGAAATCAGAGCAGAAAGGGGCTGCCATCTTAACTGTGTGTACCTAAAATAGCTTTACTTTTGCAAATTCCACAAAAACATAGGACTGCGTAAAACATCGCTAAGCCTCTCCCATGAGGAGTCCCTGGAAACAAGGGGCCCTGCAGCTTCGTGGTGAATCTTCCTAATGTACAGGACTTGGAAGGGGATTCTGGCAAATCAAGTAGCTACCAGAGCTGTAGCCTGGATGCCTTGGCAGAAGGTGGTAGCTCACCTGAGATATAGGACCCAGAGGAAAATAAGGTTGAGACGGAAGGATGGTTAGTTCATTTTTGACATTATAAGTTGGTGATTTTTGAGGGATATTCTGGTAAATGTATCCAGTAAGCAGTTATTTATTCATACATTTGTAATTCTAGTATCACTCCCCCGTTTAAACAAAGAAAGTTCAAACAATCCAAAGGTAGGTAGGAAAAGAGAAAAAAGAAACCAAGAGAAAGCATACGTCACATGATATTCAAATATTAAGCCACCTGTATGGCCTGTCTGCTGACCAATTAGAGATTTGGAAGAGGTCGTGGAAGGCCTCCCTGTGACAAGCACTGCCTCTTTTGTTGCTAGATCAGGGGAAGGTCAGGGGTGGGGGTAATGTAAGGTCTCAAGGCAACAGCTATTTACCAAACAGGACAGAAGAATTTCAATTTGTTATGTCAACTGGTTCTAGTTGCATATTAGTGTATCAGTCCTGAGGGCATATATATATATATATATATATACACACATACATACACACACACATAACAATAACAAAAAAGGGGCAGAAATAAGTCCCAATATTTCTGTAGTCATTATCAATATAAACTGGTTAAACTCACAATTAAAAGCAGATACTTAGATCTACTTTTTCATTTGTGGAAAAACGTTTATGTCATTTCCAAGAGAAAAACCTAAAGAACAATACAGTAAGAGTGAGAAAGAGGGAGAAGAACATATAGCAGGCAAGCAGTATCTTAGCTAGCCACACTAAGAGCAGGCATAATAATTTTTTAAGGAGAAAAGTAATAAAAGGAGATAGTCACCAAAAGATAAGACAATTATGAACTTGTATGAACCTAATAATGTGTTCTCAAAATTAAAAGGCAAAATCAGACCAAATTATAGGCAGAAGTTGACAAACTACAAAAAAGTGGCAAAGGTTAAACTGTCTCACAAATCAATGGATTGAACAGAAAAGAACCTCAGGATAAAAACAATCTAAGTAACCAGATTAGCAAAGTGGATGGAGAGATATAGAGAGAGAATCTTGCACAGGTAAAGAGTGAATATACATTTACAAAAACTGGGATATTCAAAGTCTGTTTACTAGAAAACAAAAAGTCTTAACAAATTCTAAAAAGAGCACATCTCTCATCTCCAAGAATTAGAGTTAGAAATCTATGACAGAATATTTTTTGAAAAGCCATAACTTTGAAAACAAAATTGGAAAACACACTTCTAAATAGTCCATGAATTAAGGATAAAATTCTAGTGGAAAAAAAGCCAAAATATTTATAACTAAGGCATAACAAAAGCATGGCATATTAAAACTTGTGATATGTAGTTAAAGCAGGATTTAAAGGGAGATTTATGCTCTCACATAAATATTAGAAAACAACAACAAAAGATTCTGAAAATAAATAACTCTAATATTCAACTCTAGAAACCAGAAAAAGAACAGCAGAGCAGACACAAAGCAAGTAGAAGGAACAAAACTATTGATACAAAGATAAAAGTAGAAATTAAAGGAATAGATAACTTTTTAAAAAGAATTAACATGATTTTAAAAATTAGAAGGATATTCATTGCAAAGTCTGGCAAGACTGATCAGAAGACTTTCTGCACTCCAGTCTCTCACCTGCGTCTCACTTACCCCGGGTATCCTTTTTGCAAGCCTCTATTGTGTGGGGGATTTACAATTTAATTTTTTCTCCATTGAAGAAGAGCTGTGTTTAGAGCAAAGGGATTTTCTTTTGCACCTCTTCCTGTGGCACCTAGCATAGGGCCGGTCACGTTGGCTGGGTCACGCTGGCTGTATTCAACCATTGTCAGTTGAATGAATCGATGTAAGAAAGATGACAGTACTGTACTACTCTAGAGCTCTACAGCACTTGACCTTTTTACAAGGCACTTACTTTCCCTTCTTTTGATGTTTGCATCAACCCTGAGCAACAATGAAGCAGAGGTTACTTTCCAGATTTGTATAGATTGTTTTGAAAATTTTATAGGCGAGAAAACCAAGGTTTGGAGAACGCATCGCTTGCGAGTGTCAGAATGGGAACCAGAACCCAAACACCAAATCTAGAGTCTTTTCCCCCACGTGGTGTTCCTACAGAGTCATAAAAAGCACAGTGGTAGCTATTCACCATTCTGGCCTAGAGGGTCTCAGTTCCAAGGCAGAAAAGTTTGTGCTACAAATAGAAGGAATTCCACCCTAAATGATTTGTTTATTATCTTTTAAAGTGGTATTTCAAGAAGCGTTCGCTCAGCCACGAGAAAAATGAGCCATTCAAAGAAGCTCGCTTTTGCTGCTGCGGGGCAGCAGGGAACGCTGCAGGGCGCGGGTGCAGGGTGTTAAGGCAAAAGAAAGGGCTGGGTGGGTGCCAGGTGACCTTCCCGGACGAAACCCCCAGCCCAGAGAGAGCGCCCGGTAACAGAAGCCCCCCGGAACGCCGCCAGTTCGGTCGGGGGCTTCACACTGGCGCCTGTTCCTGTGCCGCCGCAGGCGTCCCCACCCGAGTAACAACAGCCCTGGGAGAGACGCCTTGTGCCTCTGACCCTCCGCTCTTCTTCAGCTCCGGGGCGCGTTTCCTCCGAGCAGCTCCCGAGCCTTTGGCCTGAGTTTCATCCTCCCCTGCCTAGTCATCTCCAAAAAATGCAGTCCAGTCCCGAGAAAGAGCCGCGCCTTGGGGGAGGTAGGGGTGTTGGAGAGGCTGCGGAAGATGACTGGATCCCCAGGGTTCGTAGCTGGGCTGCGGCCAAGGCTGCCGCAGGGCACGGCTTGCGTCCAGCCCCCGCACGCTGGCCTCCTCTGCAGCCCACCGCACCCGGCCCAGTCCCGCTCCTTGCACTATTAAAACGCAAGCTGGACCAACAGTTTTTTTTTTTTTTTTTTTGAACAGCCTCCAACGGGCAACAATCTAAAAGTCCTTTCATAAAGAGCTAAGTAATTAAGAATGGTGACGCACAAGACCGCTAGTATTATGCAGTGTTTAGGAAGAACCAAGTTGATCCAGGTGCGCTTGCATGCAAAGACCCTCCAAGATCTAGTGAGAAAAAAGCGCGTTGCAGAAAAATACAGCAACACCGTTTTGTAGACAGTACATCTACGTAATGTATGAAAGGCAAGCCTAAAAGTGGGCTGGGGGAATGAAGAGTGAATCTGTTTTTTTAAAATATTTATTTAATATATAATATCAATATAAATAAATATATTCATATATTGCGTAGGTGTCCTTTTTTCAAAAAAATAAACTTTATTTTTTAGATTTACAAAAAAGTTCAAATAGAGTTCTCATAAACTCCAGTTTCTGCTATTACTATCTTTTATTAGCATGGTGTTTTACTACAGCGAATGAGCCAATATTGATGCGTTATTATTAATTAAACTCCATACTTTATTCAGATGTCGTTAGTTTTTAGCTAATGCCCTTTTTCCAGGATCCCATCCAGGATACCACGTTACATTTAGTTTTCGCATCTCCTCAGGCTTCTCTTGGCTGTGACAGTGTGTGTCTCAGACTTTCCTTGGTTTTGATGCCCTTGACAATTTTGAGGAGTACTGGTCAAGTTTTCCGTAAAATATCCCTGAACTGGGATTTGTCTCATGTTTTTCTCACGATTAAACTGTGATTATGTATACTTGTGAGGAAGACCACAATCGGTACATACTATCACTGTGGATTTAACATTCTTGATGTTGACCTTGATCATCTGGCTAAGGTAGGTGGTCGCGGTTTTTGCACTACAAAGCTACTCTCCCACCCCCATCTCCATTTCCATACTGTTATGTCACCTTTTTAACGTAGAGAGGGTCACCTTTTTAATGTGCACAGTCACTAAGTAAGGTACACTGGGCTGGAGGGGGCTTGGGTAAATCCCCTCCCCACGAGTGCGGCGCAGGGCAGGACCGGTCGCGGGAGGCGGTGGGGAGAACTGGCTCCTCGCCTACCTCCAGGCGCCTGCTGTATCCTCCTCCCGCGACAGAAGGCCCTTTAGCTTCCTTCCCCTGCTCGGGGAGGATGCTCGCAGCCTGCGGGCCCAGGACAGCCCTAACCTGGGGGCGGGGCCGAGCGCAGACCACGCCCCTAGGACCCGCCCCGCCCTGGCGCACGCGGCTCCGCCCCGGGGCGCGTTG